AGGGGTGTGCTGGCCCTGGAGGTGGTATCTTCAGGGACTAGCAGCACCGGGCAGATTCCCAAAAACCCAGGAACAAGCCAGCAACCTACACTTTGTGAGCCAGGCTGTTTTTATTCGGCACGTACCCTATCTTTAGCTTTCTTTTGTTCTCCTTTTATATTTAGTAATGTCTTTTGGAAAGGTCAACTCATGACAGCTATGTTAATGGAAACCCAAATGGGGCGTCGGTGTCTGTGTGTGGACCAGAAGATTGAAGGGAAGCAGTGTCCAGCCTGGCCCACGAGTGGAGCAGGACATAGGGGACCGGCCGGGGCCCCTTGCTCGGTCCTCGGATACCTTTCTGACAGAGACCTTAGAAGTTCCAGTTACGGGGGCCGGCGGGTGGAGTGGTGGTTAAGTCTTGGACCTGGCGGCTTGCTTTCTCACTTTCTCTCTCTCTCTCCTCTCTCTCTGTCCCTCTTGGGTCAAAATAAAATTAATTAATTTTAAAAATAATTCTTAAAAAAAATAAATAAAGGAGTAGTTCCAGTTACAAAGTGAGTAGTCATGAGCCATGGTCAGTCTGATGTCATCTGTAACTAACTTCCTGTTCCACTGGTGGCTTTGGGAAACACCCCTGCCGTGCACCCTTGCTCTTTCCTGTCACTGAGGTTCAGCCCAGGAGGTGGGGGTGAGGGGAGGCAGTGACCTGGGGAGTCCAGCACACACTTTCTTTCATTTTCTCTGGCTCCCAGCTGAGCAATCTTCCCTTCACAGAGGAGCTGACAATTGCTGTGACCTACTCAGGAAGGGCCCCTGGTTGCTAGGGGCCCTTTGCTTTACCACCTCTGGAAACTGGCTGCTGTGAGGGGGCGCAAAGGGGGCCTTCCCCCTTGCACTGCCTCTGACCCCCATCCCCAGGGGAGTGGCTAGCTGGGAAAGGTCAGGGGCTACCCCAGTCCCTGCTGCCCCTCATCCTAGATATGGCCTAGCTCCCCAGTTCCTGCCCTGCCACGGATTTCCATCCTGACAGGCACTACCGTTGCTGATGTTAGGGATGTGGACGGGAGGGACACGAAGATCTTGGTCCCTTTGATGGCCTCTAGGAAGTGGACTTTGTTGTCTGGCTTTATTATTTATCTTGGGTTACAGGGGGACTGCCAGCATGATGGTCCCCATGGTCGAGGACTAGGACCATGCACAGGTAACCTGGGGCCCAGGGCTCCCTGGAAGTCCTGCCTTCCCTTGTGAGGCTGGGGCATCCTCACCCGAACACATGCCTACAAGTTAACATTTTATAGTGAATTATGGACTAACAGCCGCAAGACCTCCATTCTAGGACTGACTCTGCTATTTGACAGTTTTGTGTCTTTGGGCAAATCAGACTCCTCTGGGCCTCAGGTCCTCCGTCTGTAAAATGGAAATGATAGTGCGGGCCCGTCTACCCTCACACACTCTCTGCGAAGATCACATAAGCAGGCACCAGCCGACGGCACAATGGTTACGTCGCTGGACTCTCATGTAGTTGACTGTGGTTCAAGTCCCCAAACCTGGTAGCTTAAAACTCATGCTGGGCACGTGTGTATGTGTGTGCCCCAAACTTCAGGAGAATGGAGGAGAAGGGATTGTGGCATGGCCAACACCCCTCCACTCCCCACCCCCCACGATTTCTCACTTTTTGTCTCTCTGTCTCTCTCTGGGAGGGCATACCCTATAGCAAAAAAAAAAAAAAAAAAAAAAAAACTAAAAAAATCCTAAGGAATCAGTGGATGTCTGGCCTAGGTTTGGAGACCACTTAAAACCTGCCCCATGCAGTCGAGGGCCTGTGGGCACCAGCAGGAGGGGCAGCAGGGCACACTGGTTGTTCTGGGCTGGTGGTGGACAGTTCAAGAGGGGACTGAACAGGATGTCAGCGAAGATCTGAAGGGCAGGAGGAGGGAAGCATGTGGAGACAGAATGAAAGGGAATCCAGTCCCTGAGAACAGCAGAGCTGGTAAGAGCTGCTCGGGAGCCTGGGACCCCCCCCTCCAGCATTTTGTTAATACACAACCCCACCCCCTCACCACCCACAGCCCCTCCTGGGACCACTTTCCCTTCCTGGACCAGAGGTCCCACTGAAGTGGGCACCCAAAGCCAGAGTCTGTGCAAGACTGAAGTGAGGCCTCCTCTCACTAAGTCCAAGGCTCCATCCAACCCAGAGCGCACTGTCGAGCCCTTGTAGGGCACCCCGGCCCAGCTCTGCTGGACTGGGTCAAACATCTGTATCCTCACAAATTAGAGGTGAAGGAGAACTGAGGTCCAAAGAGAGCTTTCTTTTTTTGTTTTTGCTATAGGGTGTGTGCACTAGCCGAGAGAGACAGAAAGAGAAAGGGAAAGCGAGCAAGCGCCTGCTCTGCCGGCAAGCACCTTCCACCACATGGGGACAGACAGTGGCCTCATTTCCCCTGCATGTGGCCAGCCATTCCCTCAGGTGTGTGAGTCAACAGATTCCCTTTAATCAAAGGGCACCCTGAGTTAGATTTCTGGCCTCTGTAATTGAAGAAGTCCAGCTGATACAATCTTGTACATGTATACAATTATGTTGCCACTTGAAGTCGCCTCTCACCGGCCACCCGACCCAAGAGGGCTGCTCCAAACCTGTACTTAAATCCCTCTCCTTGATAAAGCAACCCAGCGCAGAGGCCCGTGGGAGCCGAAGTGGCCAGGGAACAAGGTTCTGAGAGAGTCCCGGCAGTGGCTCAGTTCTGGCCAGAATCCAAGTCCTTATCCAGCCAGGAACTCCAGCCCGCAGACAGGGAGGGAGGCTCTGATACGCACAACCTTCCAGGATGGCCTGGGTCGGCATGGCCTGACACCCAGTTCCCCAACAGGGAAGACTCGGCAGGGGGGGCTGCTGTGCCTTCTGCTG